AATTTAAATTAAGTATTATGTGAAATTGAACTTAAAATGTAAATAACATTCTCGAAATCATTTAAAATTCAGTAACCCGGTATTCAATTTAATAAGTTTTTCTAAGCAAATAATCTTAAACAATTGATTATATTTTCAAAACTATGCTTTTTTTTCCAATATTCAATAATTTTTCCTTTATTTTATACATAATTTATTAAAAAAGATCACATTTTACTGTGGCATATTGAACATAATGAAATCAAAAAGATCACGTCTAGGTGATATTTGTGATTTAATAATAAATTGCGACTGGTAAAATATTTTTTTTTTTTTTGTTATTTATAGATAAAATAAAATATAAGCATTTTAACTTGTAAATATTGTTAACGTTAAATTAAATATAGAATTTTCTTTCCAAAAATTTTTATATTATAATAGCAATAAACTCAAATAGAGCAATTACGTTAACAAATTGTAAACAACCAAATTGCTTTAATCCTTAATAAAATATACCAAAAAAATAAAATAAAATAAATCTTTTTAATGTTTGTTCTTCCAACACGAACAAAAAAAAATACAAAAAAAAAAAAGAGGGCAAAATAAAATATTTTCAATTTTTTTTTTTTGGAACTTGATTTTTTGTATTAGTCAGGAAATATTTTTTTAATTTTCTTTTACTTCTTCATCAGCCTATAATTTATGATGCAGCACCAACCTTAGATAAACGAATCTTATAACGAAATGAATTGATAATTAGAAAATGCAGTTGATAAAAAATGCTGTTAAATATGATACTCAAATAGATGTATGTAACTTGTATATATTTGAGTTTCAAATACAAAAATTTCATATTAAAATGTATTATGTGGGTAATGTATAATATGGGTAATATAATTTGGGATTTTATTTTAGCAATTGTTGTTTACTTATCAAAATTTTTTTTTAAAAAAAAAATTTAAAATGCAATATTTCTTTAGTTGAAAAATAATATTGAACTGAACATTGTTCTACATATTTATTACATGATTTTATTAAACTTAAAGCATTGGTACTTTTGTATAGTTAAATTTTTATTATGCATTATGCAATTGCATAATAAATTGCACACATGTTAATGTGAATGCACCCTACAATTAATATTTACCTCAAGAGATTATTTTGTATCAAAATTTAGAAATTACGAAATAGAATATTTATCATATAATGAAAGTTTAAGATTAAATGTGTTTTTTATACACTATAATACCCAAATTTAACTTTTAGTTTGCATTTCAACTAAGAAATCATATACATAGCTAACATCTTAAATGTAAACTAAAAATATTAACAATGAATGACAATTTAACTCTTAAGCTCATTCCCAACTAATTTTTGAGTAGAATGAAGTAGCGAGAAAAATTTACGTTGTATTACAAATTTCATTATTAGTCAATATATGATTTACAAGCAACATTTCAATTGATCAGTCTTCTGATATTACTTTCAGATCTTATGATGATATATGAGATTTGGTCTCCAAAAACCTAAAATTTTTTAATATTTAACTGCTTCTTTTATAGTTTTAACTACAACAATTTGAATTGAAAATCCAGATTCGCATATTTGAATTGTTTTGGATACGTGCACCTAAAAAATATCTTTAATTAATCGATGTATTTACATTTGTACTTCAACAAGTTGCATTTTATCATGTCATAGTTCAAACACGGTAATAAATGTTTAAAATATAATTTTTATTTTTTAGTAATAACACAAACGATTATAAGAGGATTATCAATGAAAAGAGTGAAAAAAAGCAAAAGTAAAACAAAAGGCTTGGAAATTCACTAACTAAATGCAAATTCATACAAACAAAACATAAAACTAATATTTGAGCACGTTTCTTTTAATTTAAGCACGTTTTATTTATTAAAATAGCTATGTTAAGAGCATATATCAAGGCCATAATTTTAATTTAAAGAAAATAAAATTACATATTATATACAACATAATTATTTATTTTTAATATTAATTTTTTTTTTATATATAAGGAAAATACACCTGTGTTATCATAATTTTAAAGTCATAATTTTAAATATTTTCTACTAACTATATTTTCTTAGGTGATAAAAGAGTAAATATTTCTTTAAAGAAAGACTTTGTAGAAGTAGAATTCTTAATGTTATATAGTTGATACAAAAAGAAATTATCTACGTAAAAACCATTTTTTTTTTTTTTTAAATGATTATTTTGTTTAAATAAATGACCAAATTAAATAATACACAGTATAAATGTATGTGCATATATGTATGAATGGGTGTGTATAATTTTACATAGGGACTCATATAAATTATATTCGTATCGAGTAGGTACTTAGTTAACCCACTTACTTAAATTTAGAATTGCATTCCAGAGCCAGTTAGGTAGTTATGTTTTATGTTAGTTATGCAAAAATTACCATTTATCTTAAAGAATTGGATACTATAGATTACATTACAACATAACCAATAAAATTTCAAATATTTCAATTGAATGAGTGAATTTTAATATAATCACTTACCTCATGAAATTTAAACAACTTGTTGAAATTTAATTTTGTATGTACATACATAGATAACATTGCCTTAACACGTTCATAGGTTCAGGTAGGTACATAAAGTATGTACATATGTACATACACAAATATGTATGTTGACTTTACTGTAGAACTTCGTTTACAAGGAGATGAGTAAGTAGAACAGTATGTACGTATTTGAATTACAGGTACAATTACAATTTAAATGCCTTCTTAATTACATTCCAAAATTTTAGCGGGCACCTTGCTTTAATAATTCAATCAGCGCTTTCCGTTTACGTTTGATTTGTTTGATTCTTTTCCTGCCACAATTTTAGTAAACAACTTTACTTAATAATTCAACTACAGCTTTCCATTTCAGTGGCTAGTCAAGTATGCAGGTATCTTGATAAAAATCTTTTATTTCTGCGTAATTTCAATACAAGTGCGCTTCATTTTCCAATTAACAGTTATTTTAATATGAAATCCAATCACTCTTTTCAATCACCACTATACACAATTATAATATGTAATATGTATGTAAATTATTTATTTTAAAATTTGATCAATACATTTTCCTGAATATACCAAATTAAATAAGATGCACTAAATATTTAATTATAATTTATGTATGTATATCTATAATCTAGCTTGAAAAATGAGGTGCAAATTTTAAGCGTCAAAAAAACTTGTAAGAAAAACAAGTGCTGAAGTGCAATTCAATTAACCCTTAACAAATATAGGTGTTTTCTAATTATACTGATTCATTTGTGAAGTTATTTTTGACTACAATGTAATACAAAAAAAACAAACCGACAACATTTTGATTCCGTGCAAAGAAATTCATCGAAATCGCAAAATTTTATTGTTTGGTTTTTTCGTAAATTAAGCAGTAACTTTAATAACTTTATCAGAAAACAATAAACGAACAACTAAAATTCGTAATTCTACAGCCTCTTTCAATTCTTTTTCCTAACAGAAGGTGCTCCTACAAAATCCAATTCACTTTGAATTTCTTTTTTGTTTAAAATCAGTAATATTTTTCAAGTTTGTTGTCAACATGCACAACTGCTATATAAATTTTTTTTATATACCTATTGTTAAATTTTAAAATTAATTATTTAAAAATTGTCGAACAAACAATTTCTAAATGGATCACTGTTTACACCCTGATATCAGATGATGGTTAAACTTAAAATTTGATGCCTCCAAAATTGATGCTTACATACTTGTGTACATACATAGATTTTTCAACTGTATAAAACAAAAATATTTAATAAATTAATGACATCTTTTGGTATTTTTTTGTATTAAATTTAAATAGAAAACTGTCACACAATGGCAGTACTGTTTTGGGCAAAAATTTGAAAATCTGGTTAAATGTTGTTTTAAAAATGCAATGATTTTTCTTCAAATAAATCTAAATTGAAAAGTTTAAAGTCTAAATATTTTGAAATTTCACAGTCTAATCAATTTTGTTTTTCAAATTTTTATTTGATTAAAAAATAGTCTAAAATGTAAATTCAAAAATATTTTTTTATGTTTGCACGTAGCCAAGGTTAAAGCTCCACCACCTTTTTTTTTAATTACGTCCCAATAATACTTATATAAATTTAAATATTTACTTTCAAAAATCCGTTTTTAGGTTTTACAGATGTGTATATTTATTTTTAATTTCCTTATTTATACTTTTTGATTTTAAAAATATTTTAAAATTTTTTATTTTTTGATTAATTTTAAATAAAAATACAAGTTATTTCCGTATTGTACTGAAAATAAAATAAGGTAACAGTTCCTTACATTGTGACATTCTAAAATCTAAAGTAAAGAAAATTCATAAATTTCTTATTTCTTTCTCAAGAATGATTGACTATTTTTTAGTAAAGCAAATTGTGCACAAGGCAAGTATTTTTTTTCAGGAAATTGTTAAAATGTAAAATTTTATGCTATTGAAGCCTGAATTAGGTATAATTCAGGAATTTCGGAACCCTACATTCTGGAATTATACTTAATTCATCAACTGAACTATGTACTAAAACTGTGAGCATCTACCAAAACGCAAATCTAATGTCAATCTGCCTGGGTCAAAAATACAAGTTCAGAGACGAAGAAAGAATTAGTTAAATTATGATTTTTAAATTCAATGACGTAAGAAACTGATGTTCATGGTTACCTACAACATCGTACACCAGCCCAATGCTCTTCCCAGGGCCGTAGTAGGAGTGAAATACTTCTATTTTGAGGCAAACTTTTTCAAGGGATTAGAAATAAAGCTAAAATAGCGAAACGGAACAAATTAAAAACAAAATATCGAAGTTTATTAACTGGAAGCAGTTCTATTCTAAAACCTTTTGCCTTTACCAGTTAAAATCAGCAATACGTTTTGGAATTTTTTTTTAATACACATACATACATATGCTAAACTAGTTTCCTTAATTTTTGTTTTTAATAGTTGCAGCAGATTTATATTAATAAAAAAAAATTCGTTTTCAAAAAATTACTTTATTTAATTTTTTCTTTAATCACTTTATTCAGCTTTTTTAGCTTTCTTTGATGCTCTTGGTTTTTGGGACCTCAATACAGCTGATGCTCGTCTTAAAGCAGCCTGAAAAATAAAAGAAAATTTATTTAAAAAAACTTAAAACAGGGTTCTAATATTTATAAAACATAGCGAGTTGCAATGTTTTAAAGTTTAACTCAGAATAATTCTATCATCAATCTATTCCAGCGATCTTGGTGTATAGCAAATTTTAATCACATCACGTTAAACCATCGCAAAATTATACAAATCTTATTTTCAATTTATTTTATATTATCACAATTTATCTTTACTTACTTGTTTCAAGTCATATCTATATTTGTTATGCAACAAATATTTTCTCAATTTTTTCAAAGATCTACGTGGGCCAGCTTTAAATGTTACAGATACTGAATTTTTTGATGGACGATTTTGATATTTTCCCTTCTTTGTAATTACTGTGAATCCCTTTTTATCAGATGCTGGTACTACAGCAATTGTTTTTTTATGAACTAAACCACTATATCTGTATGAGCTAAGATTTGTTAAGTTATTTGGTTCCTGCAAATGTAAAAAGATTTGATTTTATTAAAATAATAGATTGACAATAATTTCAAAATATTTATTTTATATTACATCTTACTCAGATGTATAATCAGAAAAGATGCAAGTCATACTACTATTTTTCCTCTTATATATTTTAGTCATAAGCAACAAAATCGAATTGAAAAATCAATTGAGAGGTAAGTGAACAAAGGGGTTAACTAAAATTTTGGCGAAAATTGAGCTTTTCGGATCGAATATAATTAAATTTCATATATTTTCAACTGTGATTACTCTTATAGCTGGAAACTTAATAGAAAACAAGATTTTAACAATGCAATGCAAATTCAACCTCTTCTTCATTGAAAACACGAGGGTATATAATGGAAGCAGCAAATACTTCATGTTAGTTAAACACGTGTTTTTGAATTAACATTCAAAATTTAATATATTTACATTCCCCTTCATTTTAAGTGCTTAGTTTCTATTATTATTAGAAAAAAAAAAACTTCTATTTAAACTTATAATACTTACAGTGCTGAATGGCTTCTTGACGTCGCGCTTTTTCAGCATGAATGAATTATGATTACGAATAATCAACCAATTTAAATGGGATGATGTAGACATCCTTGATTTCTGGAAGTAAATTTTTCAAAATATTAATTAAAATGCAATAATCAACAACTAAGCAAATTATATTTTTTTAAATTATCAGGCTTGGGTGGTGAATAATAGTCTTCAAGAACTCTTCCGCTTTTATAATTCATCATGTAAAAATTATTTGTTTATATGTACTTGTGAACTATTCTATTTAATTTATTACCGATTCAATTTTTCAATCCATTTTTTAGTTTTATTAAGTATATTTTTAAAATAAAAATTAAAGTTAAATAATTAAAATATAAAACTTAAACAGTCCAAAGTTAAACATCTTTTAATTTGTTAACCCACCTTTTTAATTAACAGGATGAACGAAAAAGACCGGAAAAAGAAAACTTTTCATCTTGCTAAATTATTGTTAATTGACATTTTACTTTTAGCGCCTCTAGTAATGTAAATTGTAACCAGATAAAATTTACTTCTCTGGTGGTCAATTTAGAAGTAATATGCCTAATTAAATATTATGTACAAATAAATACTTACAAAGATTTCTTGAACTAATATTCCGTTTTATTCTTTATACGGACAAACTTAAGGATTTGTTTTTTTTTATTAAATTTTGGATTTTGAAACATACTATTCACTTCCTTTAAATCATAAGTGTGATTTCTAACAATACATAATAAACTAGATGTAATAAAAAATTTTGTCATGTCGAGATAATTAGACAACTATTGCCAAACTTGCAGAAGCCCTTACAGTGTTCTGTGATCATTATTATAATTTAAATCGCAGTTTTTATTAAACTGAATGGAGTGTGTCTTAAGACTTACTTCTTTTTATTCTTAGAGTAATATTTCTCAATTTTTTTTTTAAAACAAATAAATTAAAACATTGTTTTATAGTTTAAAACATCAATTTGCTCAAGCGATTTCATATCGAAGTTCAGAAATTGTAATTTAAGTTTAATATCATATTTATTCTACGTTCTAAAGGGCCAGAAACCGTCTAAAAATTTGTATATAATTGTTGCTGATATTTTCTGTTTAATGTTTACTTTATCAACTTACTTTTTCCTTCAAAATCATTCAATATCCAAACGAAGGAAGAACACTGAGCATAAAGGATAAATTACCACTTTTAATTTTGAAAGTTGATTTGTACATATTTTGGTGTTACCCAGCATTTACACGTACAAGTTACTTGCAAGAAAGTTGCAATACATACAAAAATTTTACTAACACATTGAAATATTTCTACTTGCTTGTTTACTTGCAGTTCAACTTGCAAGAAAATTTTGCTGCCAGTAATTTGAGCAAGTAATTTGACATATTCAGAAATTCACAAAAAAAAATTTGTTGTTTTGATTTTTTTTTTTTTTTAATTTAAAATTTTTGAATTTTGTTTTGAAAAAATTAAACTTAGCAAACTTATGGTTTCTAAAATTTATAAACAATTATTATTGCTAGTTGTTTTCTTCTCAAAGACATTTTCAAAAATTAACTTAGCAAGTAATTTGACATTTCGAAAAACTAATTGACAATTAATATTATACAAACTTGCTTGCAAGTAACTTGTATGTGTAAATGCTGGGTTACTTACACTAAACATTTAACTTTTAATTTTTTATTCAAATCTATGAAGTTGATTAATATGCCCGTTTGTGGGGTAACATAATAATTATAACATACCAAAAGGAAGTCAAAGGAAACGTAGAAAATGATATCATACAGTAGCGCGTACAGTAGACTATTGAAATATAATAGACGCACGAAATCATCTAGTACGTATACTTGAAATATATTTTTCCAATTTTTCAAACAGATTATAGAACAGACCTTTGAAAATTGTAACACGTATTATATATGTATATATGTATGTACATAATTAGTATGTATGTATAAAACAGCTGTCAAAAGATCACAATGCCAAGTATTAGGAAAATGTTATGTGAAAAGAAAAACGTGTTTACATTTTTAGTTTTTACACAATGTTATGCCATTAAAAATTGGCACTTATAAAATTTCATTAATATAAGAAATTAAACTGTGTAATTAATTGAAAATATTTAAAAATGTCTGAGTATACATCAAAGACGGGTTTGTCATCAATACTAAAAAATTATTCGTCAGTTGAACGGGACAAATTAAAATTAACAGCCATTAATAAAGTTCGTTTTGGGTTACCTAAAGAACGAGGATTGCTGTTTGTCGTAGAAGATGTTATAAACAATGATAATTATTTTCATTATCGCGAGTTTCTTGAGTTTCTGTCTAGTGAAGAGGTTACCGTAAGTACCTAAGTACATTTGTAGAAAAATATATATACATAACCTCTTTTCCCAATTAATATTATATATACGTACATATATATGAATTTTTAGGATGCCGATTTCTTAAGAATTATAAAAGATGGAAGAAACGTTATTCATTCTTTAAAATTTGAAACTTTTCCTGGTCTTATAGAAGCTCTGATGTCTTTAGATTGGATAACGAGAGATGAAAAAACAATAGAATGTTTTAAAGAGTTCGTAGTAGACATTTTGGTAGCTCATAATAAATATGCAAATATAGTAATTACAAAATTAATAAGTCTGTGGATACCTAATGAAAGCACTAAAGAAGAATGGCTTAATGGTCCTAATAAGAAAATAATTACACATCTAGAAAATGTACATGATTTGATATTGCGATTAACTAATGTTATGCCAATATTAAACACTATTGTATGTGAGACATTAGAAAATCTGTTTCCTTATTTCAAGAAACCACCTTATCAAATTGGCGGTTATATCTACAATTGTTTATGGCTGCTACGATACAGACCAGATTTCATGAATGTTGTGATTGATTTACTTATTAGAAAGTATAATTTTGATTCAATTTTATAAAATACATATGTATAGCATATTATTGTATTTTTCAGCCTTTTAAAAATGGATGTGAATGCACCTAGGAACGAAATTGAAGAAGCTGAAGACGAATATAATACGAACAATGATATTGCGGAAGAAGCGATGTTTCAAATAGAAGGGTTTAGTGGCGACACTGCAGTTACAATGGTACACGAAGTAGCCGAAGTTTTAGATGTGTGTTTGAAGCAATTATTTGAATTTTCTAAAAAAATTTATGATGATTCGATAGACTCTTCAAGACATAAAAAACGGGGAAAACTTAATTTTAGCAATTATTTTAGCATTTTATTAGAAGTTTTTGGAACTGTGATTCTTCCCAGTCATAACACACATCATGTTCAATTTTTGATATTTCACTGTTGCAGTTTTAAGGTTAAATTTTAACATTTTCAATTCCTTTTTGATATAGCTAGTTCAAAATAAAAAAAAATCTTTTTTTAAAATTTTACAGTTTTCCTTAGCAGAAAAGTTTTTAACATTTCTATGGGAGAAAATAATAAATCCAAATGTTTCTGCACCTATACGACAAGTTTCAATTGGTTATCTAGCTAGCTTTTTATCGCGCGCAAAATATATTCCTTTAAGGTATGTAATTCTTACGATTTTATTGCCAAAAAACTTAAATTTCTACTTTTTTAGTGCTATAAAAAATTACTTATTATTATTAAGTAATTGGGCTCATCAGTATATTGAACGTAGCGATAGTATTAGATCAAATAATTCATTGAAAGCCAATTTAGTTTTTTTTGCTGTATGCCAAGCAATATTTTACATTATTGCATTCAGAAGTAGAGAATTAACAAAAGATAAGTCAAGTAAGATATTTGTATCAGTTTGTCGAATATTGTAATTAAAACAATTACTTTTAGGTTTATTGTTCTTGCAGTCTCTTAGATTACCCGCTTTAGTAACGTGCACTTTTAATCCATTAAGGGTATGTCTTCCAGCGATAGCAACCGCTTTTGCAGGTGTTACTAGAACTTATCAATTGGCATATTGCCATACTATATTAGAAAGAAATGCACGACGCAAATTAGCAACTGTATATGCAAATGAGCTTATGACACCTGAAGAATGTTTGGATACATTTTTTCCATTTGATCCTTACTTACTTAAAAAGTAAATGGTTGAACTATTATTAAATAAACTAGATTTATTTATTGAATTTTTAGATCTGGTAAATTTGTTGCACCATTATACTTACAATATCAAGCGAATGACATCGAAGAAACTCATGACGACTCAATCGACAATTCAATGAAAATGAATCGCAGAAAACGTGGGGACTCGGAAATGGAAGGTGATGATGTAGATGATTTTATTATGAATGATAAGAAACTTAAAAGTGAACTATCAAGAAGTCATGAGATGCAATTTACTTATGGGTTATCACCAGGTTTTCATTTTTAAAAAAATAATGGAAAATAATTTAAAATTATGTGAACTATTTTTGTATTTTTTTAAGTTCTTGTATGTATAAAAACTTTTTATATGAGAAATTTTGTATTGAATAGTTTATTAACGAAAATATCAGTACAAGCAACAACTTTTTAAAAAATTATAAATACTTCTGAAAATTACCATGTTTTTTTAATATTTTAACAACAGTTTTTTTTATAACTTTACCCTACCATTTTATGTTTAAAGCTATAGTGTTTTTCTCAACAGCATGGTATTTTGTATGAAGTAAAGCTTTTGATTTATCACTTTCAAATCCTTCAAAAAATGAATTGTATGTTAATTTAGTATCCTCGTTTTCTGGATTAGATTTAGGTAGGCTTCTATATAAATTTTCTAACTGGGATGTCAATTCCCTAATTTGAAGACCATTTTGTGGTCGAATTTGGGCACCGCCATTTAGACAACCTAAATAAGAAAATAAGTCCAGAAGCAACTCAGATATAATATATATTATTCGTACCTGATGGACATGCCATAACTTCCACGAAATCATATTGAATTTTTCCACGCTTTAATTTTTGCACCAGATTTTGAATGTTTCTGAAGCCGTTAGCAATTGCAAAACGTAAAAGAACTTGACCATCATTTTCTAAAATAATTTCCCGGAAATCTGGATTTCTGAAATGTGTAGAATTTATTTGCGTTTGTTGAATATACAATAATATATTTACATAATATTGCATATTATTTTATATACTATATAAAAGAAATATTCACAATTATACCTTAAGTTTTTATAATTCAATTCATTTTGGTTTTTATTGAAAAGCTCTTTTGCAGCATAGCAGAAAATATGATCAGCATATCCTCCAGATCCGGAAGATTCATGAGCCCAAATTTGTATTTCAGGCTCGTTACTACTCCAAGGCCAATCCATTTTAACTAAAGAATATGATTTTAATTCTTTTGATTCATCTTCTAACATTTTTTCAATTTCAACTAGTAATAAAAATAATATAGTACTTAAATGTGAGCAAAAATTATGAATAAAATACTTGACGTTATAACACAGTCAACATCCCTAGAATTGGTTACTTCGTCAAAGAAATCTTCTCTGGAGGCTTCTAATTTCTTATCATAACATGGCATTACTGTAACATGATATATGCGGTCACCAGTAATATTCATTTTTTCAGCAAGGTATTGCTTAACTAAAACCCCCATAATTTGTTGCGGTGATCTTGTGGTTGCAATATAAGGTAAAATAAAGTTTCCATGTGTTTTTTCTGCATAGCACACCCATCCCGGACAAGATGATGAAAGCATTGGGAAAAAGCTTTTCTTTTTATCATTTGTTTGGTTTCTAAATCTTTCAACAAATTCATTACGACATTCTAGTAAAGCCAGATCATCAGCAATTTTCGTGTTTAAAACTAGATCTGCGCCTAATGATTTTAAGTACGAGCATAACTGCTGAGCGCAGTTTTCAACTGTGAGTTCATATCTTTGAGCTAAACTTAAAATTGATTGTTGGGATACAGTAAAAACAATAGTTTTAATTAAATCGACGTTTCCCTGTAGTTTATAATTCTGATTAGACCGAAGCACTCGTAAAAGTTCTTCTTGGCTTTGTTGTGTTATTAGAACGGACTCGGCCGATGTAATACAACCAGAGCAAGCTAAACAATCTTGTAATGTAATTTCAACTTTTTGTAATTTTTGAGGGCCAACCTATTAGAACATAAGAATAATAATTAAAATTGGCCAATGAAGAATTTTAATTTCTAGACTTACAGCTGTTTCATCAAGTCCATCATTATGAATACTTATTTTCGCACCAGTTTTTGTTCCTTTTTTTATTTCTACCGGTTTAATACATTCCTGAAATTTTGTATGGTCTAAAAAAGGAAGAAAATAATAACATATTCAGTTTTACCTGTGAAGGTGAAATAAAATCATCCAAATCAGTTAATTTTAAGGCTCCACTAAAACCTGCCATTGTTTTTATATTTTACAATTAAATTTGCTTTGCAGCATAATGTTTATGTCAAAATTGAACTGCTGTTTAACTTTTAAGAATGAATGATAACAAATGTCATCACAGTTTATTACATAGATTTTATTGACAAGCTAACAATCATAGACGAGTGTACTTTAGACCATAGACGGCCAGATTAATAAACCAACAGTAAAGCCTATAATTCATATGTGCTCGTATTGTCTAGATCCCAGGCTAGTATGTACGTACTAAAAAATTTTTTCCGCACAAAATTAAAAAACAGCTGAGTTTCCCTTCTTTGATTCTTGAAAACTTTACCGTTAAAAAGAAAATAGTAATTTAAATAAAAGTTCCATTAAATCATTAAAGTCACTTTATGTTCCTACATATTATATGAGAGTATAATAATGAATATTAGTTGCTTATATAAAGAAAACCAGCATAATAAAAATTCGCCTTTTATCTCAAAGGTGGTGTAAAAACAAGAAGAAAATCTAAAATATATGAAAACACAAAATGTTTGCTTTTATTTCAGCTTTCATTAAAAGAACAATAGTTATTATTTGTTTCCAATTTCGTTCATATATTATATGTTTTTTTATTAAGAATCTGTTTTAGTTGTCTAATTTTAAATTTTCAATTATTTTATATATAAGTTGCATATTAGACTCTACTGCAATGCAAGTATATTAAACTAGTACGTCTAATATTAATTAATCTATTATCTATAGGTACTTTATAGTTTCAGCCATTTTTATGTCAGCTCAGCTGAATAAATGGTATGTCTAATTAATCTTTTGACACAAGCAGTTCTTTTTTGTTTATGTTCAATACCAGATCAAAATGAAAATTTTATAATTTTGTTGAAATAAATTGTCAACTATGCCATTGGTTCTTTTAATAGACATAAATATGTGGCTGCATAGTTTGGTACGACTATATGAGATTTAAGTTTTAAAATTGTGTGAACAGATAATTAACTTAGATTAGTACTATTTGAGTGATCAAAAATCATAATATATTAAAGCAAATGGAAAATCGCAATGAGCATTTCCGTCATATTTTGCTTTTTTACTTTCGCAGAGGATTAAATGCATCTCAAGCTTACATTAATCTATGCGAAGTGTATGGGGATGAGGCCCTAAAAGAAAGGCAATGTCAAAACTGGTTTTCTAAATTTCGTGCTGGCGATTTTTCTCTTAAGGATGAGCAGCGTACAGGGCGACCAATTGAAATTGATGACGACCAAATTAAAGCAATTATTGATTCAAGTCCTAATAGTTCAACGCGAGAGATTGCCGAAAAGTTAAATGTTTCTCATACGTGTATTGAAAAGCGTTTAAAAAAATTAGGATACGAAAGAAGACTTGATTCATCACTTTAAATAAATTTAAGAAATACATATGTACATTTATATGTTCGTTCGTAATGCTTCAGGGTTATTAACAAAAAAAGATGACTACACATAAATTTTTTATTCTCATATATGTATTTATAGGTTAGTTTTTAATATTCCGGCAAATTTAATATAATTTAATATTATATCGTTTTTTTGTGTATGGTTATACATACATACTATATTTTATGAAAGTTATTCTATGTATTATAAATAATGTCTTCTAGCTGGAAAATAAAGTAAATTTACTCATATTTGGTATCTATTTTTTTGTGCAGTTCATCCCAATTTGATCTTAAAAAAATGATTCCCAGAATTTTGTTAGTTTCCCAGTGTTTGTTTATTTATATTTTTTTTAAATAGTGCGTAGATTTTGATTCCTTGACATATAGTACAAATTTTGATTTAGTTGGCGGTTGACAGGATGAAAGTTTTGTTATGTCAAGATTTTGCTTCCTTTACCATTTAGGGAACAACGTTGAAACATTGATTATCACTGTGTACACAAAATCATGTTGAAATTTGTAGCTGTATGTGTTGTTTCATTATATCATAACAATCATAACAATTTTTGGTTTTTTTTTGGAAATTTTCTTTATCGTAAATTCTTTTAATTGATTTTAAAGTGAAAAACTTTGATATCAAAATAGAAACCAAATGTGATTACAAAATCTGCATCGGTTGAATTGCAAAAATAGTTCAAACCACAATCCTATTCTAGTTTAAATAAATATTTACTTAATCGTTTTCAGAAATGTAGCAAATATTTAAATTGTACACTAGCGGTAGTGGGGTGCTTTTACTCATGAAGGCCAAATTTAAACCCTTTAATCGACGAAGCGAATGAGATTTTTGGCGAATATGATCTTTTGGTATTATGATTACCGAATTCGCCTAAATTTTAGGCAAATCTGTCGAATGAAAATTCTGTGTGACAAGTTTGGCGAATGAAACCAAAAGTCAAAATAATAAATAAGTGTTTTTATTTTGGATATTATAGCATTTATAGTTATTTGATGGAAAAATCTGAACTATTGTAAAAAATATTGATTGTTTGATATTAATTTAAGCGTGAACCAAAATCGAACCAAAAACGATTCAGACATTTAAATAAATTATTTTTTAGCATTTTTTTGCAAAAAAGCTAAAACGTGGAGACCCTTATTGTTTATTTTATTCATTTATATCACTATATTGGTTATAACTTTGTTATAACTTTGTTATAACTTTGGTTATAACTTTGTTAATTTTTTGACATAAATACCAATTAAATATAATTTTATAAGCACTCCATTTATACCTATATTATTTACCTTTGTCATACAAAGTTATTTCGATACTCGTTTTTAGTTTATGTGACAATTGCGGCATATGATTTGACATCTGCATTTGCATGTCATTTTTCGGCCATTTTTCATTAGAAATAAAAGTGACATACTGTGGAATTTTCTAGTAAAAGGTATGTTTTTTTAAATTGATAACACATTTTTTATTTTACCTCATAAAACTTCCGAGTTGATTTAATAAAATTTAAAAAATAATAAAATTGAAAATAATTAACATAAATATTTTGTGTAACAATTTGTGCAATCAAAAACTTACTTATCTCCAAACTGAAGTAATTTTTTATTCTTTTTGTTACGGTTCTAACAATATGGATACTGTCCGCGATCTTTGGGAAAGAATAAGAAAGCGGCCAAAACTAGATAACCCTAATTCTGAATCACAACTTAATTCTCTACAAATTGATAGGTAAATAAAATAATTTTTTATATATTTCTTTCAGATTGACCGAAAGAAAATTTAGGAAGCTCAAAAAATTTCATTTGGCATACATAACAATTAATATTGAAAGCTTAAAAAAAAACCCACAGCATAACCAAAAATAGGCATTAAAATTTCGCTAACCGAATACAGGTGAAATGAAAAAAAACAAAAATTAAGATATATAGTACATAATCTTAATCATAATTTAAGAAAATTTTGATCTTGTATTGTATATTAGATATACGTACGAAAGTATTAATTATAAATAATAAAAATTCAAAAAAAAAATTGTACAAACTGGATTTTGAACAGCATAACGACGAACAAAATTGTTTTAAATTTGGAACCGGTGTATCAAATATAGATTCTGAACTGACAATTCCAGAATCCGCAAAATTTTACATCGATTCTAGTAATTCAAGTGCAAGTTTTAAAGATACTGAAGAAATGGATATTGATGCATCCGTACCACCTCCAAGAGAGTATTCTGATTATCCAAATGATTCACAACATTCATCCGATTTGGATTATTTAATGGGTTTGAGAAGAGAAACTTCACCGAGCTCTGGGACTGTCGCCCAAATCGATGAAAGGAATGTTATTGACAGGTGTTTAAAATTAATATAAATTTAAAAGAATCTACATAGTTATATTTGGTTAATTTATATAGAGTTTTACATTTATTACATAATTATTATGTTTTTACAATGTTTTTGTTAAATACATGTATGGTGTACTGTACATTATGGTGTATACTTATGAATTTTATACACTAATGTTAGGGTATAAAAGTTGGAGGGTGAGAACTTAAGTATTAATTAAATTAATTTCTTCATTGAAAAAACTTGCAATTCGGTTAACAGATTCCAAATGAATCATAATTATTATTAAAGCTTTTAATTGCAAAAGAACTAGTAACACTAATTTTTATAAACTAAAACTAAAGCTGATATAAAACAAAAATATTAAAAAAATTCGGGTTTTTATTCATTATTTTTAATTACGGGTAAATTTGACTTCGGATTTGAAGTCTTTGAAATTTCACTACTTTAGTTGCGTACTAAAATATTAGAAGTATTTACTGTTGTATAAATAATTCCCAATGTGAAAATTTGTATCACCACACAAATAGTAGAATTTTATTCCTAGTTTTTACACTTAGTAATTTTAATTAACTTAAAGTAAATTTTCAATTATTTTTTAAGTATGTATTTGTTTTTTTTTATAAGTTAAAATATCGTGAGCGGCTAAATATAAATGGATTTTTCACTTAAAGTTAATCTTTTTTTGCTATTAATTTAAAAATATTGGACTTCAAATTTATAATTATTTAGTCCCTCCAAATATTTAAATCAATATTAAAAAAAGGTTAACTTGACATGAGAACTTATAATCTTATAACGGCATCTTAATCTTATAAAGTCTTATAACGGCATTTCAGAAAACTTTCCTTGTGGATTTTAAAATTATTCTACGCAAAATCAAATCACCCCATTTTCAAATTGCAGTATTTCTTTAGCATGTTGTCAATAATAATTTAATTATAATTTAAAAAAAATCTAAAATAAGTACAACACTGTATTTGTTTGTTTTTTATTTAAAAATTTTACTATAATTTATATTTTTTTTATAAAATTAATGCAATATTCTTGCAATATTTTACAAAAATAAAATTTTATTCCAGTTTAATAAACCTAAAAGATGCATTAGAATATTTTAATAATTATTTTTTTTCATTAAGATTTTGAGTTAAGAAAAAAATTTTATGTTTTTGTATGAAAATAGTTTATAAAACATTTTTATCACCTTTATTTCAGTAAAATATTGTAATCGTTTTCAATTTACAAAATACAATAAAATGTTTACACAAATTTCAAAAATAAAACGTTTTGAAAATCTAAATTAAATTTATAAATTGAAAATATGTAGTAATTTAGAATTGAAGATTGATGAAATGCAATCGCTAGAAATTTATATATAATATGTATATGAGCACCTAACATTTGAATAATGGTAAAATAATAAAATTAAATTTTGTAATTAAAAAATTTCTGAAAATTTAATCATTAAGCAAAAAATTATTTAACGTGAATTTTCGGTGCAAAGAACCATAAATTAATAGCATCTATTTTAATTTATTTATTTATCTATAAAATATTTTTATATCTTACAATATTTTTTACCTTTTTTTTTTATTTTTAATATTAAGTTTTAACCAACCGGAATTTTTATTTTGGTAGTCATTTTTTCATTATTTTAATCATTACATTTTAAAAATTGGTATTAAATTAGAAACCATAAAATTCTCATTCATTAATTGCTTGCTTTTAACAAATATAATTTTAATAATTTTCTTTAATTTTTCAGACCATTTGATCTAAATGAAAGGTAATAATAATAAATTAATATTTATCAATTCTTATCTTTTACTTTCAAAAACAAAAAAAAAAGCAGAGAAATTTAATATTTTTGTAAAATATATATTTAGGAATTGTTTCATAAAGTTTTTGAATAAATTTTACAATAAAAGACGGAAATTGATAATTTAATATTTTTTTAAAAATAAAAAATAAAGAGTAAATGCAGTTTCAAAAACTTCATAAATTTTATTGATAATAGTGAAACTAAATTAATTACGAATTTTTTTTAACGTATTTAATATGCTTCCAAAAATAATTTTAATCTTGCTGATACTTTAAATATCTTAATGTTTTGTATATTCGTAAATAAACTTTTTCAAATTATTTAAAAATCTTATTTAGATCAAACTTCAAATAATTTATTTCATATATTCTAAGCTTGGATTGGAAAGATAAAAACAAACTAAATTTTAATATTTTTTTAATTAAATTTATATCCGAATTTCATTTTAATAATAATTGTTAACACGAACTGAATGTTAATAATTGTTATTCAAATTATTTAACTCTTTCTTAAAGAATCCCTTAATATATTAGTACTAAAATTATTTAATTTCATTTAAGTTAATTTTCTAAAAGCTTACGATATTTTTAATTTTCTAATTTATTTAATAATAACCTTAAATGTACTTATTTCAGTAGATGACACTACTTTTATTTTTTATTTTAATTATTTTCAATGCACTTATCACATTTTCCTAGTTTTATAATAGAAGTATATAAATATATTATATCCTTATACAAATTTATTATCGTTCATTATTAGCTATTTAATTAATTTTTTCCTTTAAAAAAAAAACTGCAATCATTTTTTAAACTGCATTTATTGATTTTATTCTATAATATTGTTCTAAAAAATAATTAAAATAAATAACAGGTTTGTTTCAATTATTGACCAATTGGATACTCGGGTCGAAAAACTTCGGAAGGATGCCCTTGGATTACAAGAAAAACGTGATTTTCTATTGATGTCCGTTGACTTGATTAAAAATCATGAACATTTAAATAATATGCAGGAATGTAAGTTAAATATATAATTTATTCATTTACAGATTTTAACAAATTTTTATATATATAAAATGTTATTTCGTCTTATTTTAGCTGATCGGGAGGAAATTATATGCTATATTCATCGAGTTAATTCTCGTTTAGGAACAGTTGAATTGAATGTTAAAACTGTAAGGGATCAAAGTCAAGAGGATTCATTATCTCAAATAAATACACTTATTGATTCGTTGATAACTGTTGGTGACCCAGTATTAGCCAGACAAAAATGCCAAACGTATATAAATGCATGTAGTACAAATGATCATTTCAATAGTGGAGATGGTTGTGGTAGTGGCTTCGGGGCATCAACATCAAGTGAGGATTTAATATTAGAATGTGATAAGAAGTTTGAAAGTGCTTTACTTGGATGTACATTGGATGATCAAAAAACAATTAAAAAACGCTTAAATGCACTTATGAACTATCTCAACAAACAAACTATTCATAACGGCTAATAATGCAAGAAACAAAAATAAACGAACCAAAATTTTAATTAAAAACTGATTTTTTTTTATTTTCAATCTACTTGTATTTTTTTTTTAGTTTTGTTTCTTTCATTTTCTTTATAATACTAGATTATTTTTTTAGATTAATTCCTATCTAAATGTAATGTTTGTTGGAAAAGTGTTTTTTTTTCCTATTAAAATATTTGTTACCTAATTTTTAATTTTTACATTAAATTTGTTTTTGCTAAAAAAAAACTTTGTATTATTAAGCAAAAGCAAAAAAAAAATTAAAATGAATAATGAAATCCAATTAAATTAACAACTTTAAAAGTATTAAAATAAATTCTTAAAAGAAATTTCCAATATTCTTTTATAAAAAAATGAAGTTAAAAGTTTACAATTTATACGATGGCCTCTATATTATGAAATATTGAATTTATTCAATAAAAATAATTTAAATCTTAAAATTATTAAAAATATTATATAGTTTTTTTAAAAAATTTATTAATGAAAGTAATTTAAATTTAAAAAATTATTAACAATTTTATTAAAATATTACTAAAAGTAAGTCTTGCGGGAAAAATATTCAAGTAAATTTTATTGGAATATTTTTAGCTTGTTAATTTGTTAGGAATAAAGATTGTCTTCGAGTTTTTGAATGTTTCGATTTCGTTTTACTGGTGTCATCAAACAAAAGTTTTATTTCCCAAAAACGCATAATATTTATTTGAAAGCTAAGTTTTCTTAAAAAAAATAAATTTACGAACGTGAACGAAATATAAATACACATTAGTACGAAAAGATAATATTTTTTTTCTGATAACGAAACAATTAGAAAATTATTTGAAAATCAAAAAGCATTCTGTTTGAAAATAATATTTTGTCAACATGAAATAAAATATTTTTTTATTTGAATTTGTTCAAGCTTTAATAGCTTTACAATTATGCCATTTAACTTACAATCATCAAATACTTGAAAAATTTTAATTTTTTACAAAAATAAAAAAAGAAACAAACAAATTGATATAAGCTTTATAAAAAAACCGAACTTAAGCAAAAGGAGAATATTGATTTTTAAAAGATAAGAATAAAATAACCAGGTATTTCAATGCTAACTCTAAAGAATTTATTTAAGTACTTGAAATAAATTTTATTATAAAATTTGATGTAAGTTAATCTAATAAATTATTAAAAAATTTATGTATGTATTTGATATTTAAATGAAATTAAATCTTTTTTTACCTAAAAAATTAATAAAATCTTTGATTTTAATTTTTGAAAAAGTTATAAAAGTATATTACATGCCAAAACTTTCACACGTTTAAAGTTGCAAAGAGTAATAAAGAATATTTTCAGAAAATTCTCATTAAATTCAGGTTTCTAATTATTGTTGAAAGTACGGTAGGCAACCATAACGAATTATCTCTTGATATGTGCTTCTGTAAAAATTTATCAAAACCCAATATGAATTGCAATTTTTAATAATGAAGATTTAGATGTTTCGAAAAAGAGCTTAAATCAGTACAGTTTAATTAAAAATCCATACACGAAATCCGCAATTTGAAATTGCGTGTTATGTAATACAATTTCAATAACTAAGTTTTCAGTTTATTGTTAAATTACAGAACAATTAAAATTAAAATCCGTAGTTAACGATTTCGAATACATACTTAATTTTATTAATTCAGCAGATTATATTCGATATTTTTAAAAATTTTTTTAAAAAATTTGAAAAAAGTGTCCATTCGTTCGTTTCCGTCTTTCCGTGTGTCTGTTTACAAATCTTCTACAATTTTTCAGATAGAAACAATAAATTTTATAAATAAATAGATCTTTAAATAGACTAGAAACTGATTTCTGGAATATTTATCTATGTCCCCCTATAAAAGTTCTAAACTGTAAGAACCTAAAAATGTTATTTTTTGACGTTTTATTGTAAAGAAACCGCAAAAATTTTTGGAATTCTACAAAAATGCAAACGTAGAACAGCAGTGGCTGCTTCTTCCACTGCATGATTTAGTTGATCATAGAAATAAAAAAATGGTTGTTTACCAATACCATTACCAAAAATTCTTTTTTTCCAAATTGATGTTGTTTTTCTTTGTTTGACGATGAGATGCAGTAGTGTAAAATTGTAGCAGCTTTTAAATGCGAATAATCAGTTTATTTCGTTAGAAGAAAATCTTTGACCTCTAATCGTTCTAACCGCGCTAAATTGAACCTAACCTAATTTATGAGTCAATAAACCAATGTACTCCAAAACAAAAAAAAAAACTTAATTTAGCTTTGAACCCACGTACCCATATTTTAGCAAAACGTTTATATTATAACAAATCCAAATATTAAAAATTTTTCATAAAAAAATAATAAATACAAAAAAAAATTTTTTTTTTAAAATGTTAAGAATCTAAGAATCTAAGTTTAGAAAATGTTTTGAAAACTTTAAACTTAATCTAATAACACATTCATACAACACACAACTTTCTCTACAACACTCATTCCAAATATAATAGGAAGTAATTCCTTAAATAAACCGCCAAATTATAGTATAAGCACTAAGCACTAAAATTCTTTAAAATTTTTAATAACGTTCTTCTTCTTATTAGACAATGAGATGTGCGACTTCAAGTCTCTTTAACTTTTTTTATTTTGTTCTTATCCTAAATTTATGCAATAAATTAATATATTTTTGTAATGAACAAAAGTAATTTATTTAATATAATAGATTCTTTTTAAAAGCAGTATTTTTAGTTGTTGAGGAGAAAAATGCTACTTTAAAAAACATTGATTTGACAAAACTATTTATTAAGCTTGTAAATTAGAATTGAATTAAAAAAAAATACGTAAAGTAGTTAAGTGCTTTACAACTTTTTTGTCTATACACGTTCATATAAGTACCTTATGATGATTTCTTGATAATTTACAAAATTCTCTAAATTATAGAAGACGCTTATAACAGGGATTGGTAGTTTGTTAGCATGAATTTTTATTATTTTTTTTTAAATATAATCAGTTTACTAGTTTATAATATTAGTTTAGTAATTAGTAGTTTAGTAGTTTTGCCGAAAATTGTATTAAAGTACTGGTAGTAATATATAGATAAATAGTAATTCCATATAGATAATAGTAATCTATGCATATATATGCAAAGTAAGCGTTTACAATGTGCTCTGGAAAATGAAAGGAGGATGGGAAATGAAGGGAGGATGGGAATCGCCACGAAGTGGACGGACGAGTCAGAGCCGGGTGTGAGTACATTACACAATTGATAAGAAATAAAACACACAATTTTTATATCTTTTTCATTTTTTAAATAATTATTTTTTTTTCTTCTTTACATATGTATTTTTTGTTTTGTATATATATACATATATTCTTATATATATATACATATTTATATATTTAATTTTTTTTTTCATAATAACATTGTTTTTTCCTTAGATCTATTTATATATTCATTATTATTGCATTCACTACTTGTTTTCAGTTTTTTTGTTTTTTTTTTTGTTTTTTCTGTCTTCATAATAAATTTTTATTTTTTATATATTATTTAAAGTCTGTATCTTTTATTTTTTCTGTATGTATGTATGTATTTTTTTGTGAGAGGAGTCAGAGAGTATTAAAGAACTTTTTTACTATTTTATAATTTTTTTAATATTTTTCTTTTCTTTTTCAATTAATTACATACATATTATTTTATATTATGTAGGTATATACGTTTTTTTTTTTGTATACAAGATGCCAATTGTTCTTGGTATGCTTTACTTTATTTATTCGTTTTAAAACTTTTATTTCAATTATAATAAAAACTTTTTTTTTTTCTTTCTTTTTTTTTTAAATATAAGATGCTTTTATTATCAAGTAATTATGTATGTATTTAATGTATTTATATATAGGAAATTGTATGAAATTTGAAAATATATATATATATATATATACATATATAAATTTTTTTTATTGTATAACAAAATCTATAATCTATTGTTATAAAATTCTATTGAAATTTTGAAAATTTAATAGAATTATTTTTGTTATAGAATTAAAAATATTATATTTAATAAAATTTAATATTTTTAATAAATTTATGGTTATGTAACAAAAAAGAAAAATCTATTTTAAGTAAAAGTATATATGGGTATATTTGATAATTCAGTTCTTTTCTAGTATCTACTAAATATGCAGCAAATTTGATTAATAAAATATTGCAAAAACTTTACTCTTAAAAATATAATTTTTTGAAATGCAACAATGAAATAAATTAAGTTTTATAGAATATTTTTTTAAATTACAACACTGTAAATTAGGATTTTAAAAAATTTATCAGAAAATTGCATTTTTAATTTTACTACTACAAATAAAAATGAAAAATAAAATTTCAGAAAAATTAGAACAATTCATATTAAAAAGTAAGTTTTGTATTTTCATTTTTAAATATTTATTTGTTTGTCATTTATTTTTAGTGCAGTAGAAATTGAAAAATATTGGGATCGAGGCAAAATTATTTTTGTGATATTTCTAAAAAGTAATCGCTATTACACTAAGTCCTCGAGATACGACATCTTCTAATACAACATTTCGAGTTACGACATGATATAAATTTGGATCATTTTTATTCGGCTTACGACATTGTTCCTAATACGACATTGAAAATTTAAAAAAGAAATTGTTTTTTTTTGACAGATTTTACTGTTTTTTGAATAAAAATCTATACTGAATTTAGTTATAAGACGAGACTAAAGCACATACTTCAACAATGAACTCTTTCTAGTTAAAAATTCTAGTTAGTAGTTAAGAATACGAATTGAAGTGATAAAATATCAACTTATTTAGATTTTATTTTATTTATTTTTGTTACATCATTGAATTTTTTTGATTTTGTTATTATATTTTGTTATTTTTTTTCAAACTTTGTTACCTTTTTGTAAAAAAAAAGATAAATTATTTTATAACATAGTTTGTCTAATTCACTTTTTGTTTCAATATATTTTTTTTCCTCCTCAAACGGCAATTTGAGTTACGACATAAATTTCTGGAACCAAAAATGTCGTATCTCGAGGACTTAGTGTATGTACATACTTTGTTTTTGTGTCAAAAAAATTACAAATATTTTGGAAAGTATTCGTAAATTTTCTTTTTTAAATTTTATAGTTTTTGGTTTCCAATTTTTTAAATTGAATAAAAACATAATATGGCTTTGACAATACTTTAATAATTATTGCAACAACTCTCTTTGCTGCACTTTTTCAAATTTTCAGTTTTTGCAGTTGTTTTTTTTTATTGGTGCTTAGATCTTAAGTTCTAAATTAGAAATGCAAACTGAATTTTCAAAAATACCCTATAAATGTACAAATGCTGTTGGTTTTGTTTTTATTTATTTATTTTTTTTTTATCGAGAACAAAATCAAATTATTTTAAGTTTATAAGTATAATGTAATAATTGCCAAAAAACGATTATCATATGCCTGATTTTATTTTTTTTTTTAAATTTGATCAAGTCTAATTATTAACTTTTGTTTTCATTTATTCATTTATTTATTTTTATATATTTTATTTAAAAAATATTCTCTTTTTAGCTAATATTGTTGTAATGTTTTTTATTTTTATGTTATTTTTCATAATATTTTATTTTTTTTTTTTTTTGGAGTTTTATATATTTTTTTTTTTATTTTAAATTGTGGATAAGAAATTTTAAATATATAATTATCTATTTTATATTTAATTCTTGCATTTTGATTGAAACAGAAATGGAATGAAAAAAATAAAAACAAAAAAATAATAAAATTATGGAATTTCTAGCGCTTATTTTTGTTTTATTTCTTCAATATACTTAAATTATAAATTTTTTAATTATAATTATTTACAATATAAATTTATTTATAATATATTTATAAATTGTCTTTTTATTTTTTTGGAATATAATTTATTTAATAATATATTATACTATGATTTCAAAGCGGAATCCAGCCGCGTTTATGGAAATCATCTTTTTTAAATAAAAAGCACACAATTTTTTGTTTTATTTTTAATATTTTTGTTTTTTTTTTTTTAGTTATAAATTGTTAAAAATTTTTGCTAAATAACACATTTTTTTTTGTTTTTTTTTTTTTATATTTATTATAATTTTTATTTTTTTTAATGTATATATTTTCACAGTACTATATTTTTTTTTGTTGTATTTTTTTTACGTTTTTTTTTTTTAATTATTATTATAAATGTAATTTATTATTAATGTATGTATGTTTTGTT